ATTCCCCGCAGCATGTATTCCCTTCCCGTCTTTATCTGTTAAATTTCTGTTATTATTGCTTCTCGTATATGATTTATCTGCACTAGTTTATATTGCCGTCGTGTCCTAGTCTCGTCACCACTTCGCCGAGGTTAGGCTCGACACTTACCAGTACATGGGGTTGGTTGTACTGATACTTCACTCTGCACTTTCGGTGCCGGACCTCGTGAGTAGAGTTTGGGTTGCTGCCTTTAGTCCACGGGAGACCCAAGGTAGATCTACTGGCGTTCGCAGACCCTGGAGTCCCCTTCTTCCCCATTTTGGACTTCCTGTCTCTTTCTATTTTGAGAAAAGATGTATTTCTTTTAAACCTATGTTTGTAGAATTTCTTAGAAGTTTGTGGATTGTGACACTAGATCATTGGGGTAGTCATGTATTTGAGTTGTTGAACTGTTATAACACTTTCACACTTTATCTCTATTTGGCTTTAGCTATTATTTATTTATGTTCTATTTAATAATTAATGTGGTAAAACTGTATGTGTCGGCTTGCCTAGCTTTCAAGAGTAGGCGCTATCACGATCCCAACGGTAGAAAATCCGGATCGTGACATAAGTTAGAAAAGTACCTGAGTTCAATTCTATTTCATCAAAAAATTTAACTACAAAGGCTCTCTCAAATATTTGCAAAGGAAAAATGTGCCAGTTGAGGTTTGAACCTTTGACCTCTTAGATAAAAATCAAGCACATTACCAACACACCAAGACACAATTTAAGTAGAGTGATGTCATTTTTTCCTACTTACCTGTTTCCGTATAATATTAATATATTTATTTGGTAAAAAATTTCGACGAAGCGGTGTCGCGTGACACCGCTTCGGTAAGCGTAAATCCGTCCCTACCCACACAATACGTGTAGAGTCAATTACAAAAACAAGAATAATAACATACCCAATATATTTTCACAAGTAGGGTCTGGAAAGGGTAGTATGTGTGCAGTCCTTACCTTTACCTTGTGAAGATAGAGAGACTATTTCCGAATTGACCCTGCTTTGTGTAGAGTCAATTCTCACTTACATTTTTTTAGTTCTTTTCCTATCCAACATGTATTGTGAAAAGAAAATTATTTTTGAATAATATGAACTACACTGTTAGAGTATTTCTAATACAATAACAACAACCCAGTGTAATCTCGCATGTGGGGTCTGGGGAGGATAGGATATACGCAATTTTATCCCTACCCTAGAAAGGCAGAGAGACAATTTTCGATGTTAGAGTATTTTTAATAATGAATGAAAAAGTGATTGAATAAAAAACGCAATGAAGTGTGCATCAAATGAGTATATATATTCATAAGTCAGGTACTAAATATAGAAGCAGTATCATTTACTAATATTTTAGTGTTGAGATTCGGCCGTGAATGCACTATACGTATATTATATTAATATTCATGCAGTTTATAGACCAAACTTGATCCGCTGTAGCACCGGAAATTCCATTATTTGAATCCGGGTCCAAATCCCGGCAGCGGAAATCTCTTTTTAAAGATGCTTTTTATTTCTCTTTTTAGTTTGTGTAATAATAAATAGAATCTATGCGAGCTGTTTCCTCAATTCGACGTGGCAGTCTATTAGTAGAGCAAAAATCCTACTTATATAAGGAATCACATATTTCTACACACTCCAATGTGTCTAATTTTTCCAAAATCAAGAACTAATTTTAAAATCCTAATATTTAAGAGATTACTTAAATAAAGGGTCGTCCAGGTGCACGAAGCATCCTGCGTTCACATAAGGTCCGGAAAAAAAAGGAACATAAGGGATAAGGGATATGATTTAGACAGCCTACCTTACTGCAAGCAACAAACGCTGATTCTATAACTCGAACACGTGATCTATAGATGATACATAAACAACTCTACTGTTGCTCCAAGAAACTATTTTAATACTATAGATTAATACTATAGCCTGAAGAGATAGTCAGCATGCACTTGTCTTAATTTCAGGGAAAAGGGTCGAATATACTCCTTTACTTTCGAATATTGTCCACATTTTACCTTCGTTATACTATCTAGCCAAATTTATCCCTGCTGTTATACTATCTGGCCAAATTTACCCTTACCATCAGCAAACTTTTAAAAATTACCTCTTGATCTATTGAATAATCCAATTTTTTTTATTTAAATCACTAGTTTTTTTTCTTGCTCCACTTTTTTTAGAAATTATTATTGATGTGAAATCTAAAGGGACAAGAGTATACAAATGGATATTTTTTAATTACCGATGCACCCACTGTCACGACCCAAACTGGAGGGCCATGACTAGCACCCGGCCATACTTACCGAGCACCAACATACATTTTATCTAACCTTCTTTATTATCTTTTAGGGCTGACGAGATCAATATAAATGGTAGACATGAGTCATGGACAACCAACAATAAAATATGATGGCATAAACATACATATCATAGGATGACTAGACAATCAAGAAACTATATATAAGGTACGAGCTACCACACTACCATGAGAGACTATACAACAAAATTTCAGCCGACAAGGCCTACCAAACTATACATGAGTCGACACCTGTCTATGAGCCTCTAAAGGAACATAAGTGTTGCAACATAGCCGGAACAGGGCCCCGACATACCCATAATATCTATAACAAAAATGCATACCAAGACCAAGGCAATTCCGAAGAAGGGATCTCGCCAATCACCGCTGAACTGGATAGCCTACTATGGTGGGGGAGCTGCCCCTGCCTGTCTATCAGGACCTGCAGCACGACATGCAGCGTCCACTAATAAAAGGACGTCAGTACGAATAAAGTACTTAGTATGTAAGGTAGGGAACCATAAGTACGAACAGTAATGTAAGCAGGGATAGAGAATAAACAACCTGTAACATCTGGGTACCTCTAAGGGCTACTGACATGAAATGCGTGATACATATGTATATATACATAAACTTTTAAAACATACGCCTCTGTGGGCATCATCATCATCATATCGTACCGGCCGTAATAGGCTCGGTAAAAACGTACCCGGCCACGTGGAGCTCGGTAAAACCCAACTGATCAGTGGTTGCACAATAGGTGCCGTACCCGGCCGACTATAGCGCGGCTCGGTAGAGTAAAATAGATACATATATATAATGCATGCTCGACTCATGGACTCACGTTCTAAACCTTTCGGAGTGACGTAAGGTCGGTATCCTCTGTATACGTTATTAGGACTAACTCTTCACCATGAACCTTATAAGAATCAGGAAGTACCAATAACATTGATAACATAAGAATAAGAGAAGCAACATCAACATCAATCGTTCCATAAGAGGGGAAACAATGTAAGTACTGCTAGCTTCTAAGAGTAGAGTATCTTTGGAAGCTCGTTCATTACATTATGTACAATCGGAGTCGTGCAAAAGAAGGAAAGGGATAGCCTCACATACCTTGTATATACTGCCCCAATCTCAAGCTATGCAATTTTCACGACTCCTTAGTCTACAATAAGAGAAACGATACTATAGTTACCATTCAAGCGTCATAACTATTATGTATCGACCACAACCTATCTTACGATGAAACGGACAGCACCTCCCCTATATATATGACTTCACACAATTCCAAACAATCACCAAACAGCCCAAACAACATCAATAATAATCATATTGAGCCTCCCAAAACAGTCCACGCACAACCAAATCACTTCATACATACGACGGCCACCGTAGTCGTGTCAAACAACCCGGAAATGTTACGAAGAACTACCAGCCCACAACCCTACATCTATATGGTATTTTTCCACACCCTTCCTCCTCCAAAACTCCACAAAACAGTAGTAAAACACGCAGCCCAACAGCAACACAAACAGTCCACAAAACAGTCCGCTACAAGTGAATAACTCGAACTCACGGCTTCCGATCACCGTCCCGTGAGTTCTTACATGTATAGAACGAATTACCATGAATTCACAGCAGAATAAATGTATGAAAGATAGCAGTAAACTCACCTTACTTGTTGGATAACTCAGCCCTTATCTTGGTTCTTCAAACTCTAGGGTTTACCCCCAATTTGAACTTGAAAGAGAGGGAAAATCAATTAGGGTTTGTGGATAATTTTTGGGAGGAAGTTTGCAGGGGTTTAGGTCTGGTTATTTGTGAAATATAATGAGGGATATATTACAGAAGATAAGCCTTTTAATGGGCTCTTTGTCTGACCCGAAATTGCCTCTTTTTGGGCTATCATTTAACCAAGTAGGTGACCCACCTAATTGTCGCCTAGCAGCTTGTGCAGTCTCTAAAAAATGTCTATATCTCTCTACTCCAATGTTGTATTGATAAAAGGTTTAATGCGTTGGAAACTAGACTCATAGATCTTCAATTTGGTGGGTAGATCACCCCGTAATTCCAAGTATATTGGGAGAAAAGCTTAATAACATTTGACCTAAAGTTTAAGTAAAACTATGAACTTAAGTTGCAACAACTCTTGCGACTTTTGTTTCATAACTCGTTTGACTTCAAGACTATGATACGGATATTTTATGATTCATATACCTTAAAATACGACCTCTTGAGAGTTTTAAGCACCCCTAGGTTTACCCAAAAATACGGCTGACAACATCCTTGATTCGTTTAACTTCTAATACTTGTTAACCACCCTTATACACCTTTGTATCATTTAAGACCAATAGGATTAATCTCTTATCATCTCAAAGATAATCTCTTCATGGATTTACGTCGACGACCTTATGGCATGAACTAACGTATGTGAATATGGGTTGTAACACCCACTTCTCTTCTTATGATAATGGATTTGGAATTTGTTTAAATTGTTTTTTTTTTGTAATTAAACTTTTATTACCATGTAAATATATACAAGTATAACAGACACTAAGTTTGGACATGTAGCCCCAAACTCAGTACATTTCATCCTCCCTAACTACATTTCTAAGGGTAAAAGTTTAGCTTTTGCAGCTCTTTCCTTAAATTAATCTGTCTATGACCTATACAGTGTATTTCTTGTATTATCTGCCTGGTAATGTCTTTACTGCATCTCTTTTCTTGCTGAAATACTCGTCGATTCCTTTGCATCCATAGCTGGGATATTGCATCGTAATACTCATCTTGTAAATCATGATTTTTGAACCTTTGCCTTTCACATGTTCTGTTGCCCATTTGAGTTCCTCATCCCAGCCTTTTATCCTTCGTACAAACCCCATCCATGATAACAGTTTCCCCCAGACTTCTGCTGAAAATGTACATGCAAAGAAAAGGTGTTGATGGCTTTCCAGCTCTTGATCACATAGTGGCCAGTTTTGATTAACTTGTATACCCCTGCTGTTCAATCTGTCTTTGGTGTATATCTTCCCCTGCACTGCAAGATACAATATGAATCTCCATCTTGGGCAGCCTTTGTTGTTGCATAATAATATGCTCTAGTTCTCTCTTGGAAAATCTCCTCTCAGTTGATTGTACAATCTCCTGATAGAGAATGTCTCTATCATTAACTCCTTCCCAATATCCAACCCAGCTTCAATTATATATTTGCCAACCTGTAGTATCTTCCTAACAATCCATGAAGCTTGCTTCACATCTACTTGCCATGGAATCTTTCCTTTTATATAGTAGACATGCACCCACCTTATTCACAGTTGATCCTTCTTCTTACAAATATTCCATAAGTGCTTTAATAGTGCTGCTCTATTTCATGTACCAATATCAGTGATATTTAATCCACCTTTAGATTTTGGCCTGAACATTTTATCCCAAGCCACCAATGCATTTTTTCTTGCATTAGTGTCACCAGTCCAAAGAAATCTCCTGCAAATGCCTTCAACAAATTGGATAATTTTCTTTGGCAATGGAAAGATCTGCGACCAGAAAGCTTGAATGGCTATTAGCACACTCTTTATCAACTGTAGCCTCCCTGCATAACTTAGGAATTTCACTGTCTATTGCTTAATTCTCCCCAGCATTTTATCTGGTAGAGGTTGACATTGGCTTACTGACAGTCTCTTTGAACTCAATGGAACTCCAAAGTATCTAAAAGGAAGTTCATCAATGGTAAAACCAGTAACCTGAATAATTTCCTGCTGCACTGCTATTGGAACTCGAAAGAACAGTAACAAATCATCTGCAAAACTGAGCTGGACAATACTCAATTTTTCACACCTTGGATGGTAGTTAAAGTTAGGCTTCTCCTTCAATTATTTCAGGATTCTAGTCAGATATTCCATTGCTAGTAAAAACAATAATGGAGATACTGGGTCACCCTGCCTCACCCCCCTTTTTGCTTCAAATGGCACAGTAGGACTACCATTAACAGTGATGGAGTATGATAGTTCTGATGTACTCCATAATCCATCCTATGAATATCTTAGGAAAACATAGTCCAGTTAATACTTTCTCCCGAAACACCCATTCAAGTGAGTCATATGCCTTTTGCATGTCAATCTTGATCATGCATCTAGGTGAGACCCTTTTCCTACCATAACCCTTTATTAACTCATGACTGAGTAGAACATTGTCTATCAAGCCTCTACCTGGGATAAAAGCTGTCTGGCTCTCATCCACCGGTGTATTCATCACTTGTCTCAATCTGTTTGTCAGCATTTTAGATATGATCTTATATAGTGTGGTGCAACATGAGATTGGTCTACACTCTCTGATTGAGGTTGGGTTCTTTACTTTAGGAATAAGAGTAACTGTTGTGTTATTGATTGGCCTAAACATTCTCCCAGTAGTAAAAAATTCTAGCACTACATTTACAATGTCATCTCCAGTAATGTTCCATGCTTTCTTAAAGAAACATGCATTAAACCCATCTGCTCCAGGTGCTTTCATGTCATCTATTCCCTTTAGTGCATCAAATACATCTTCTTTTGTGAAAGGGGATATAAGCTGCAACTACTGTCTTCTAGTGAGTACTGCTCCATTCCTTATCCAGCCAGGATGAATAGTTGGTATGCTACCATTAGCAGTTCCTAATAAATGCTTATAAAACCCAACCACTTCAGCTTCAATGCTCTTACCATCTGTCAAGACATCTCCATTGCTATTAATGAGCTTTGTAATTTAATTATGTGCTTTCCTTCCTTTCATGCTAGCAAAGAAGTAGGCATTGTTAGTATCTCCCAATTGTAACCACTGTATTCTTGATTTCTGCTTGTATATGGACTCCTCAATCTTATCCCACTTCTCTAGTTGTAATAGCAATTCCTTCTCTTCCTCAAACAGATCATTTGGTGCATTAGCAGTCTTCATTCTTCCTTGTATGCCATCTAGCTCTTTTCTGATAGTACTTATCTTCTTTGTGACATTCATGAACTCCTTTGTGTTTAACTGTTTCAAAGTTGCTTTTACAGTTTTCAAGTTCTTCCATATAGCTTCCATACCCCCATCCTTTAATTTCCATTTGGTTTCCACAATCTTCCCAAAGTCAGGGTGATCAGCCATCCAATTATAAAATTAAAGGGCCTTTTCTTGTTATTACAGCTTACCTCTATCTCAATCCCCAGTGGAGAGTGATATGAGAACAGAGGATTCATTATTTGAACTTGTCTAGGAGGCATATTAATCATCCAGCTATCATTAACAATTGCTCTATCAATTCTACTATACACATGGCCATTTGTCCATGTATATGTCTTGCCCACTGTAGGTATCTATGCCACATTACAATCTTCTATTACTTCTTTGAAATCCTTTGTTTCATTATCATGTACTTCACTACCATGCATTCTGTCATCAGCCCCCATAATTGAATTAAAATCTCCCATTAACAACCAAGGTCTCATGCTTTGCCTTGCTATGTTTCTTATTATTTCTCATAGTGATTTCCTATTCTGCACACTATGTAGCCCATATATTGCTGAAAAATAGAACTCCTTATTATTCCTCAGAACTTTCACAGTACCAACCTGGGAATATGTCTCCAGCACTGTATAATTCAGTAAATTTGGATTCCATGTTACCCAAATTCTTCCTTTGTAGGAACTTGACACATTGTGACACCATTTCCATCCTGGTAGTAGCTTTTCAATGATCTTCTCTACTTTTGTATCTTTAACTCTATGCTCACATATTGCTATCTTATCTACCTTATTTTCCTTCATAAATACCTTTAACTCCTTGTGCTTAAACACTTTATTGAAACCCCTTACATTCCATGTGACTATCATGTTAATATTGCCAAAATGTTCTGTTCCATCCTCTCCACCTCCACCCCTCTACTTGTACTGTATTCAGTTACTCCCCTTGTAGTTTGTTCTTGTCCTGCCTACACTAGACTGTTGAAGCCATTCAGAACTATTATGTGCTGCCCAGATTCTAGAGCTTTTTGTCCTTTTGTTGCAGACTTACTCTTCACTTGTTGCCATATCTCACCACTTTCCCCTACTTTGTCATTATTCACTTGATGCTCCTTAGTACTCAGTAGTATTTCCTGTTGTTGGTGGCTTTGTAATCTAACTTCCTTATTGATAGGCTTCCATTCTGTCCTCTGCTTTGTCATTGTCTTGTGTTGTTGTTGGCATGTTTTCCTCTCCACCCCTGCTATATTAGCCTGATGTTGACAGTTATGGCCTATTTGTATACACCTTGAGCAATATGTTGGTTTCCAGTCATACCATATCTCTTGTTCCATGATTCTGCCCTTTGGATCTTTTCATTTAATAACAGTTGGAAGCTCCTTAGTAACATCAACTTCCACCAGAATCCTTGCATATGAAATTCTCTCAGCATTTGAAGTACAAGCATCAGCATATATTGGTTGGCCTAAACCACTACCAATTTTACTCAATGCACTAGCACTCCAGCAACTTAGAGGTAAGTTAGGCAATTTGATCCAAATGGGAATTGTCTTCAAATCCTCAGCATCAAAGTCAAAATCAGCAGTCCATGCCTTCATAATAACTGGTCGATTGTTGAGCATATGAGGCCCTGAGTACATCACCATATCCCTCTCCTCCAAGCATGAGAACTTAATCATAAAATACCCAGCATTATGATAGTATATTTTTGGTTTTGTTGAGAAATTTCCCTGTCCTGCTACAAATCTTTCCAGAGCCCAAATAGAAGGTGATCCACCTATAACATACACTATTGCCGCATATTTCCATTTGTGTATTTCACTATCAATATCCTCTTGCACCAATTCTACAATCACCTCTCCCTCAACGAGTGTAGGCGGTACAAAATTCAGATCCATACCTCGTTTTGCCAATTTGTTCTCTTCAAACAGCATCGACCATGTCCTTTCTACTTTTTGTTCTGATTCCAACTGTAATTTCCGCTGTGCACCTCCATTTTGAGTTACTGTTTCATTGGCGTTTCCACTTTGAACAGTCTTCGAGTTCAGATGTACAGCTTGAATCTGCTTTTGTTCTGGTCCTTTTGAATTTAGATCCTTCTGCATATGAGTCGAAGTTGTCCATGTAACAACTGGTGTTTTATTTCCTCCGCTTCGAGCTGGTAGGGTTGGCCAGATCTCCATATTTGGTGTTGCATGCTCCTTTCCTTTGCTTACTGATGTTTCCTCGACCAATTTCCTTTCAATTGTGATGTTATTAACCTTTTCCCCTACTTTGATCGATTAAACAGTACCATCACCTCCAGTTGCTAGGGGTTTTGGTGTTACCATTCTCACAACTTCTGAGCTCCTTCCTTCCAAGGAGGTGCTGTCTTCCTCAATCATCAACTTAGTAGCCTTTGCCGGCCGTCCTCGTGCTCTCCCCATTCTGGTGAGCGCAGGTTAGAATTCACGCTAAAGTGCGCCGAGAGAGAGAAGAGAGAGAGTGGTTTCATTCATTTAAAATTTTATTTATCTTTTAACCATATACACATCGTATAATTCAGTGGGTCTAATTATTGTGTATTATATGCAATTGTACGTATATATTCGAATATCTTTTGTTATTGTCTGGTTAGTATAGAGTTCGATGAGCTAACTTAATAGTGCGCAATGCGTAGACATTTGATCAAAAGCAAAGTTGAATTCGATAATGCAAAGTCTCCAAGAAACTTCAACTTCTATCACTAATACTTACAAAGTTTCCATATATTTGGTGCAACGAATTCATTAAAGTTGGGATGTTGTAAATACTTTTAAATTTTAGACAAGCTGCCTAATTTAGATTCTTCAATTTACTATACTACTTGTTTACTAACCATTGTATTACTTTAATATTTTTTTCTCTTAATTTTTTTCCAATTTTAAGAAAGCAGGTAAGTGCCAATTATTTCGAAAATAGTGGATCAAAAAGAAGAAAAGTGACTTAATTAAAATAAGAGAAATTTTCATAAAGCACTATCTTTTGGTAGTAATTAGCCATCTAAACATACCATTTTCTATATTACGGATTATAGATACCTTTTGTGTGGTTATAAGATGTATTTGATGTATTTAAGCTATTGTATTCATGAATACAGTAGCAAAAATAGGCGTGAATCAGTGAAGTCCAGCTAATCAGTTGTTGTATTCGAGTGTATTCGACTGTATTCATGGAGTGAAACATGGGATTACAGCTGGACAGATTATTGTATTCAACTGTATTCACGGCGTGAAATAGGGGATTACACTGTTTTTAAAACGGAAAGTGAATCAATTAATATAATAGACTCCTAATATAACTCAACAAACTCAATTATAACACATAAATTTTATATTTTCAGTTATAAAAAAGATTCTCAACCGAAAAATACCCCAAAAACATAGCAATCTTCAGAGAAATTATATAATACATCTGAATACATAAATTATATTAATTAAAAAAAAACATATGAATACATTCATGGCATATAGCGAGACAGTGAATATAATGAAATACATATAATACAGCGGGATACATTGAAATACAATAAAAAAAAGACAGTGAATACAATAAAATAGATGGAATATAACGAGATACATTGAATTACAATGAAAAACCCTAAAACCCAAATGGATCTATTCAAGCAACCTGCAGCAAAGCGGCTAAAACGGGTCTCCTCACCATCTTTCGCTGACAACTTCATTTCCAGCGCCTTGTCATCTTCATTGTCGGGTGAAGACGGCGGCAACAAAGACCCCAAAGATACAATGCTCACGTCCGATGAAAAGTCGAGAATGGAGTTCAATAAATCGCTTGCAAAGGCCAAAATGAACCTCAAACTATGCTCTGATAAAATCTCCAAGTTAAACGCAAATGGTGATGGCGTAGGATATGTGAAGTTAGAGGAACTGTTGGTTGAGGAGACATGATTGGAAGCACTGCCAGGGGAATTTCAGAAGCCCTATGCAAAGAACTTGTGCAGATTTGTTGAAAAGGATTTGATTTTGAACCAAATCCAACTTCTTTTTCCGATCAGAATCAGTATCTGTTTTTTCCCTTTAATGCATACACATTTGTTGAGAGAGAGGAGATAACCATGGAGAAATACTGGCGTTGAGAGTGAGAGAGAGAGAGGGGGGGAGGGTGGAGAAAAATCTGAAAGAATGAGAGAGAAAAATAATACAAAGAGTATTTTATGGCTTAAGAGTAGGAGGTAACTATAAATAGATATTTGGCTATAAAAATCAAAAGGTATCTATAGAATATAATTTTTTAAAAGGGTATTTATTTAAAATAAATAAGGTATCAACCTTTGCTATAGGAGGTAAAAATTCCTTAAAATAATTTGAGAGATTCTAATTCACCTGACGGACCGAGGGGTAATTTTTAAAAGTGTGCTGATGGTAGGGATAAATTTGGTCGAATAATATAACGATATAAATAAATTTGGCTGAATAGTATAACGGATGTTAAATGTGGATAATATCCGAAAGTAAAAGGGTATGTTTTGCCTAATTTTAATTTAACCTTCAAGTAACTTTTTTTAGTGATGTACTTTTGGAGTTCTGTGGGGTCCTCTATTGATTTTGTCAAAAGGTGGGTGGAAGATCCCATAAAAATTTCGTTATCTCCGATGAGAGATCATGCAATGTTTTACGCTAAAATCAGTCTAGACATAGATTAGCTCTATTTAATTAACTGTCCTCTAATTTGTAAATGAATGTTATTCTAGACTACTTCCTCCATTAACGCCATAAATTAAGAGTGTATTAAACTATACACCTATGAGATTGTTTGGTTAGAAAACAAGTTATTTCAGAATTAATTATCTTCGGATTAGTTATTTTGGGATTGTTATTTCACTCTCCCATAGGGATAAAAATAATACTACAATCTCGTGATGATCAATATAGGATTAGTTATATCGCAATTTTATCCCAATTAAATGTGAAATAAACTCATCTCGAATTTAAACTCAAAATTAATTATCTCTGATCTCTCGTATCAAACGTGTCCTAAGTGATACACGAAGTTGCAAATGTACGATAGTTATTCCAAAGTCCCGCGTTAATATTTCACATTATAATCGTGAATAAATCAATTCAATAAAAAAACCAAACAACCTCTTAGTTATTAAATTAAAATATTGTTGTTGTGTACCCGTAAGAAATTATGCTTTCAATAAATACCTCAATAAATTTTAAATGTGAAAGTGGCTGACAAAGGTGTAACTATTGTAGGTGTGGCATCCTAGAATTTCTGAGAGTAGTTGCCACTGTTACAACAAAAACAGCTCAGATTTATTACTATCTCATTTATAACTTAATTTAATTTCTTTTTTTTCTTTAAGTTGAGGTAGATGAATAAATTTTATTTTATTTTATTTTTTACACGGGTGACATCTCATGGAGAAATACTTATAGATTTTAAAGATGGCATTCCTCGAGAAAAAAAAAATGCATATGATGCCTTAAGCAAATTTTACATTAAAAAAGAACGAAAATTAGTGTTTTATAAGACAGACATTATTTACGATTTTTCTGAATTTGACGTAGCGTAGCGTGTAAAAAAATCCACGAGACTACTACGCCAAAAAATACAATATGTGCGACGAGCTATAGTTGTACCATTAACTTTAAATATTTGAATATTTGTAATAAATACTAAAGTAGTAATATTATATATTCCAATTGCATGAGCTATAGTTACTATTTAAATATTTGAAATATATACTAGTAATATTATCAATTGCATTTTTCAAACAAAAAGCTGTTGAATCATACAACATACTATTAAATTTGAGGTCTTCTTAAGTTTTTTACAATAATCCAATTAATTGCTTTAGATTCACATCATATATTGTACGTATGGAAAAGGTTGAAACAACATATATACAGTCGATAAATCACACCCACTCATGAATTATTGACTTTAAAATTTGGATTTGCTTCTGTTAATTAATGTAAATATTAAGTCAATCGCTAATGATATTTAGCACAATTTATTCTTATCATATGTTGGAAAACTAATTCAAAGTCAGAATTAATATAGGAATAGACTTTCCCGTATCTAGTTAAAATAAGTTTCTTATTATTATAAATATGAATATTAGTAGCTTATTTTATATGTGGAGGAAATAAAGAATTATAGAGACCTTTCAGAGAGTTATAATAAAATAATATTTTCCTTCATCATAACATGTCGTTAACATGTTTTACCGATAAATTGCCATTATTATAACTCCAACAAAAATCATCAGCTCAATACACTACTAGAAATCCGGAAAAAAGCGACCACGAAAAGTGACCAAAGTTGGTCGCTTATTGGCCAAAAAGCGACCAAACACGCCTGGTCCATATTAAGCTGGTCCCTTTACCTTAGGGACCAAAGTTAGCGACCAACTTTGGTCTCTCAGGTAAAAGAACCAAATTTTTCGGGTAAAGAAAATAGCGACCAACTTTGGTCGCTATAATATTTTAATATTATAATTTTTGCGACCAAAGTTGGTCTCTTTATGTAAATTACGTTTTTTTTTATTTATTATTAATCATAAAATAGCGACCAACTTTGGTCTGTAAAGAAAAATATTATATTATAAAATCTGGAAAATAGAGACCAAAGTTGGTCGCTATACTATAAATATTTTTAATTTTTTTTAAAAAATAATCGACCAAAGTTGGTCGCTAACTTCATGAATTAATTTTTTTTTTTAGTATTAAGCGACCAACTTTGGTCGCTATATTTCCAGAAATTGTTAATTTTCTGGGAGATAGCGACCAAAGTTGGTCGCTTTTATTTCTCAGAAAATTATATTTTTTTAATAGAGAAGCGACCAAATAGCGACCAAAATTGGTCGCTTTTTTGGGTATATTGCTGGCAGGAACTGCCTGTTTTGGCAACTACACCACCTGCCAGCTTACCAAAAAGCGATCAAAGTTGGTCGCTTTTTTTGGTCTATTATTTCATTTAATTCCACCGGAAATCTGAACCAAACACAGAGACCAAACATCAAAAAGCGCTGCTCCAATAGCTGGTAACGCATTAATAACTCAATTTCACTAATTAGTTTATTTTTTGAAAATATAACATACTACGTATTTTTAAAAAAAAAATTAAAATCTTATAAGCTATGTAAAAGATTTCATAGCTTTCTTTTACTTGGCTCGTCAGAAAAAGAATATTG